TCTCAACCACACCCTCTCCCAAATACATCTCAAGTCTCCGCTAAGTGCGGAACCCATTCCCCCCGTCCTGCTCTCCCTCCGCTGGCTGGCGTTGGGGCTCACCGGTGCACTGGTGGAGCTTGGGGTCTGGGGGTGGATGCTGGCTCATTCCTGGCGGCCTCTCTGCTGGCCCCGGCCGGCCGGGGCTTTGCTGGGGCTCCTGTCTGGGGGTCGGGCGCCCTTGGGGCCTCGGATCGGTGGGGCCCGGGACTGGATGCTCTTCGGGGTGGGGCTGGGTGTTGTTCGGGGATTTTCGGTGTTGTGGCCGGTGCCTTCGCTACGATGCCGGTTCCTGGGCGGTGCTTTTTCCTATGCCGGTTCTGTGGTATCGGTTCGGGGCGGAGGGGAGCTGCGCGGCATGGTGAGGTGCGAGTCTTGGGTCTTGTTTTGGGCTCCGGTTTTTCTGCTCGCATTTCTACTCTTGCATATTTATTTTAATTGTAATTATTAATTTATTAATTTATTTATTTATTTACTTATTTTTTCTTTTTTTTTCTTTTTCTTCGTCGGTGGCGGGGAGCGGTTGCGGGCGGGTCGGTGTCGGGTGTCCACTGTTGCATTGTGGGGGCTCCTTTTTTTTTTTTTGGGGGGGGGGATGGCATGTCTGTTTTCTCGGGGGGCGGCGGGCCTGCTGGGTGGGGGTCCTGCTGGCGGCGCGCCGCTGGTGTATGGGGGTCCGGGCGGCTCCGGCGGGGGTGGTGTTGGGGGGCCGGTGTGGACGGGCTGGCTGCGCTGATTGGGTATTCGGGTGAGTTTTCCCTCTTGGAGGCATGGTGGAGCTGCTTTGTTCCCGCTGATCGTGGCGGGGTGTGGCTGTGGGGTGGGTGGGGGTTGGAGTGGCTCTGGCCGGCGCGCGTCGGGGGGCCGGGGCGGCGGCGCTGCTCCGGCTGCGTGTCGGGGCCTGGTGCGGGCGGCGGGGGGGGGCGGCGGACGTGGCTGTGCTGCTTTGGCTTCGTCCAGTGGGGGAGCGGCGTGGTTCGCTCCGCTCTGGCTTTGTGCTGCCCCTCGGGCTGCTGGGGGGGATGGTTGCGCCGACTGCGGTCTGCTCTTCTTGCGGTTTTGCGCCGGGCGGCTTTTCTGCTCTTGGGTTGATTCTGTGTGCGGTGTGTTGCATTGCGCGCTGTTGGCATCAGTCTTGGTGGGGTGGGGCTGCGCTTTTGGCCAGGTGAGCGTTTTGGGGGGGGTCCCGCGGCGCTCGCAGGCGGGGCCGCCTGTGTGTTTTTCCTGGGTGGTGCGGTCGCGGTGGGTGTTGCGGCCGGTCGCTGGGGCTTGGTGCTGGGGGGCGGGGCGTGTTTCGGTGCTCTGTGGGGCTGGGGTGTTTCGGTCGGTGCCGTGGGGGGGCCGGTTTTCGGTGCCCGGCCCTACTTCAGGGTGGCCGGCTGCCGGCGGAGCCCGCGGACTCGTACCCGCGGCTCCCCGGGGCGCCGGCATGGCGGTGGCTGGGGGGCTTCTTCGTGGCTGTCTCTCCTCCTCCCTTGGTGGGGGTCTGATTTCCGGGGCTGGCCCCTCCTTGGTGCCTTCGCTCTTGGGGTCCCTTTGGGCACCTCGGGCTCTGGGTCTCCCGGCGCTGGACTCAGTGTTCTGGGGGGGGTGTGCCTCTCCGGCTCTCCACAACCACTATTGAGCATTTTTTCTATGGTTAAAACTTTACATGCACAAGTTCACCCTCACAAACAACTACAGGTGCTAGGCTTCAGGTACTTAGAGATTCACTTCCAAACAGAAACCCCACATTCATATCTACAGGTAACACAGAGTACATGTCAGACTTAATAATATTACTTTAGCGATAGTTTCAAGGTGTTGCTTTATTGTATATCTCGTACCGTGTCTTTTGGTTGTGCTGTTCTTTTTTCATCTCATTGCAGGTGATGAAGCAGACTGAAAATGTTTTGTCATTGTCTCCTTTCTATCTTCTCTTTCTTTCATCTTTTGTCCTTTTTTTCTTTTTCTTTTTCCTTTTTCTTCTTCTGTTTTTCTGCTCTACTTACATTGCAGTGTCCATATAAACTGTAAAACTCCCTGCATAATTATAATAAAGCAATTTATATACATGAAACAAGTGGAGCAGTATGGCAATTGCCATACCGCTACACTTGTGAAAGTAAAATCTGTTGGGCTCCTTTTGGCATCAAGACAATTATTCTTATTGCCACCTTGCCAGACAGGAAACTGTAAAAAAAAAAAATAGAAAAAAAAAAAGAAAAAAAAAGGAAGTAGTGTAGAGCAGAAGGATTTTACTGGTTTGTCATTGGTCCATATAAAGGAAGTCGGAGGTGAACCAGAGAGAGAGGAAGTTGCAGGAGAGTGTTGTAGCTTCACCACAGAGAAAAAAACGTGCTGAAGTTTGCTAAAAACTGAGTTTTGTTGATGTTTGTGGACTTTTAACTCGACAGTCATTTAAAAATATCAGCTCTACATCGTTGTCTGCAACTATTAGTATTGTTTCAACCCGAAATTTGCTGTATAGTAGCTGTTAGTATTGTTTCAGTGCTCGCTAATGCATTAGCATTCACCAGCAAAGTGAAAGCATTTTCAGTACTGGGAGCTAGCTCAGCTAACAGAGACTCTAGTAAAGTTTCCGGCATGGAAGCTGGGAGAGTCAAGCACTGTGCAGAGAGGTGAGCAATACTGATTTTCTATGGATCTGATTCGGAGGACTGCATCTTCACTGGACTTTTCTGCTGCATTCTGAGTTGCTGGGGACCGAGAGACTGGTGACGAGTGAACAACATCCTGCATCCATCTTCCTTTATCAGCCGGGACCAAAGGAGGTTCATTACCAGAAGGTTCCAAACTCTGGGGAGAGGTACCAGACTGCAACTGTTCCACATCATATCAGGCCTGCAACGGGGGAATTTTGGTTTATTTTGAACTTTATACCGGCTTAGGTGTGAGTTAGGAAGTGTGGGCCCACATATTTTAGTTAAAGGAGAAGTTCGGTTTTTTACACTTTAAGCCCATTTTCTGTAGTGTCCAGGATGAAATCGAATGATCGACACCAAAAGTTTGACAATTGCTCCTGTCTCTGCTTTTTGGCTCATGCAGAATCCCCCCCTGGCTGCTTTAGAATGGCTAGCATAGAGCATGTCCGATAATGTCCTTAAAACAACCTTAAACGTTCTTTTTTTAAAATATGCTACTCACCGGGTCGTCAGCGCTGTTCAATGACGTTCCAAAAAAAGTTTCGTAAAGAAAAAACGTTCCTGTAGTGTTTTATTTAGCATTTTGTAAATCCCATTGAGTTCTGTAGGAATAGTCAATATTCCGCTGCCACCGGAAACGGAAATGGGGCCTGTTTACACAGTTGTAGTCTTTTCGCTTCACTCTGTGTACTCCGACGTCGAGAATCAAGAATCCACCTTTCGTATTCCATTTTCAGAGTTTTTTAAAGTGTTTAACAGAGACGTTAGCACCTCGACGTCGGAGTACACAGAGTGAAGCGAAAAGACTACAACTGTGTAAACAGGCCCCATTTCCGTTTCCGGTGGCAGCGGAATATTGACTATTCCAACAGAACTCAATGGGATTTACAAAATGCTAAATAAAACACTACAGGAACGTTTTTTCTTCACGAAACTTTTTTTGGAACCTCATTGAACAGCGCTGACGACACGGTGAGTAGCATATTTTAAAAAAAGAACGTTTAAGGTTGTTTTAAGGACATTATCGGACATGCTCTATGCTAGCCATTCTAAAGCAGCCAGGGGGTGGATTCTAAATGAGCCAAAAAGCAGAGACAGGACCAATTGTCAAAATTTTGGTGTCCTTCATTCGATTTCATCCTGGACACTACAGAAAATGGGCTTAAAGTGTAAAAAACCGAACTTCTCCTTTAAGTTGGAAAATTGAAACTGAAACTTTATTACAGAGAGAAATTTATTTTAATTTTATTTTTTGAAAACATCTCAATTGTTTTGTTTGTTTGTTTTGCTCAATATAAGTTAAAAGTTCATAAACTGTTGTGAGTAGTTTGGTTATTTCAAATTATTAGATAAGAAATAAGCAGATTTAAGGCTGGATTATAACCCTGATTCTGATTTCCTTAGGTTGTGTTTAAAGTTGTTACTGTCCTCGGAGGTGAGTCAAACTCAAGTCAAAATATAAAAAGTAAATAGAGTTTAAGGGTTTTTTTACGAACTCAGGGGCCCTTACCTACTTCAATGGGTTACAGGTGGGCTACACAGGGCAGCCTAAAGCCAAATGCTTTTATTAAGCCTGAAAAAAATAAATAAAATAAACGGTTAGTTGAGGTGTTTTATAAAATATGTGATTCAGGAAATGTCTATATACCAAACTGAAGGATTTTTCTCTACTTAAAAAAACACTTTAGATTTTAAAAGGGAAACATTTTCTTTTTTTTAAATATATTTTTGGATGCATAAAAAGCTAATTTTATTTCAGTGTTAAATTATGTTTAAAGTAACAGATTATAATAACCTTTACTGGTTGAGGATTTTCTTTATTCAGACCCCGCTGCTATTTTATTGTTGACCCCTGGATTAGAGCATCCTACTATTTAAACTGCAGATAATCAGGGAGTAATTTTTGAACAACAGAAATGACTGATGACTTAGAATGGTTTACTTTATTATAAACTAGACTGGGTTTCAATAAATAGTCTAGTTTGTTTGCATTTGCATAGCATAAATTGATAAAGTCATAACTCTTCCTGTTTCCAGGACCATTTTCTACAAAGACCTCAATATTCACCAGACTATATCAGATCTTACATAATCACCTGCTGCTCTATACTGATTGGCTGCAGCCTGTCAGACTATTATCTTTTTTCTGTCACTGTCCAGAGCACCTCACAGCAGGTAACATCACTGCCTTCAGGCTGGATAGTGCTGAACTTAACAAATAGAACTGCTTTTTGTCTAAGGGGTGGAGCTGCATCCATATGTAAAACGCACCTTTACTCTTTTATTATAGTTACTCTTGTTGCTGTTGAAGGACGCCGACGCAAAGGTGGAATCCACACTTGTCGAGTTTGATGAAGATAGAAGCAGTTTTTCTGTAATATTTTGTTTAGTTCACCAGCATTTTGGACAACTTGTGAAGTGTAAGTTAGAAACATTTCAACCTTTGAACATTTTCTTGTAGTTATTTCAATAATCGTGTGAGGTTAAGGGTGGGCCGAAGTGCTGCCATTAGCAAATTTATATTTGGTTGTGCTGGAACTGATAATGCTGTTCTATTTCTACTGAACATCATTAGTGCTTTACTGTTTCCTGCATGAGGTCTTGGTTTTGTGCATTGAAATGTCTTTATATTGAATCGCTCTATCTATTCATTGTCTTACTAAAAGAAAAATCTTACAGGCACGGCTAAGCTTTCATTTTTGGGTGGGGCGGAGCGGGGTCAAGGATATTTATTTTGGCGGAATATTTTTACTATTTTAATGTGTATAATTAAGACCTATATTCCAATTTTTTGTCTTGCTGTTAATTGTTTCTCATTTGCCAAAACAACAAACAAAAACAGCAACTGAGAAACAGCTTAAAAATAAATAATTATAGTAAACATCCTATTTTCTGCAGTCTTGAGCCGTGTGGTTTTAGAAAAAAGGTGTTTCTTAAAGGTTTAGGATGCAGATCGATGCTTTCATTTTGCATCAATCTGATGGCTAATCTACCGGTAATAATTGATGTATCAATATGGATCAATGTATTGTTACACATCTATGAGCAGAAGGATTATTTTGTTTATTTTTCGCTGTTCGTCTAGTAGCACTGTTCATATATGTTCATGTTTTTGCTTATCTTTAGATAAATGTAATATCTGAGATCAGAAGACTGTACTTATTTTTTGCTTTTGTGTGAAAACTCACAGGTTTCATGCCAGAAAACTGTTTTGACAAAATCTGATTATTTTCTTAAAATCACAGTTTACTGATCCTGAGAGAGAAACTTTTTATGCCACTACTCTGAGGTACAATGTCAAACTTGGATTTAATATATTAGTTATTGGCTGTAGTCAAAAAGCCAGGGGGGATAACATGTTGAAAACAGTTTCTGTCACGTTTCCTTTCTAGCCTTTTCTGTCACAGATTAAATCTGGAAGTGATGAGTTAATGCAAATCCGGCTTAGGCTATTTGTCAAGCTTTCAGCTGTTCACAGCAAAGAAAAAAGAGACTTGTCTATCAAAACATTAGTTTGGAATAGACCATACAGTCACAAATGGGGCTACACAAACTACTGGTGGTATGTGATCGCCCCCTGCTGGTGGGGCGATAATAGTCTGACAGGCTGCTATATTACTTGAAATTACTTCTTTATTCCAATGGTTTATGTTTTAAAAGAAGCTTTTATCTGAAGGATTCTTTGAGATTTTTTAGAGATTTTCTTGGTCACTCTGCTCTCTTCAGTTTACTTAAACGTTGTAATTTATGATTTTGGTGACACAAATTTTATTTGTTAACTTTGTTATTCATTGCCTCCAGGCTGAAGCAGAGGGAGTTTTCCTGCTGAAGGATATTTAGGGAGGTTTTTTTCCCTAGTCTTTATGCTATAGTACTGCTTCTAATCAAAGTCTAAAAGAGAAGAAAAAAGGTTTTAGTAACAATAAATCGTGTGAGTAACCACTAATGTATGCTTTCATACAAAGCCTTAGCAGTTATCTGCACTATAAACATGAACTTACTTTTAGTTAATGCCCCCAAAACATGACATGTAAAATGCAATGGTTCAATTTCCTGCAATTATTTCACAACTTCTGGTCTATATCTGACACTGTGGGACCAAAGTCTGTACAGACTCACTATGAGAGAAAAACATTGTGTAGGTTTGATGACAAGAAGTTTCACTATGTTTTTGGAAATCTCACAACAGTTATCAAAGTTTCTTTGAAACGTCCTTAAATAGACTTTGAAAATAAGAAAAAACAACTTTCCATAAAGTTAATAGAGAATAACTTTACTGCAGTTTTCCAGTCAACAGAGCATAGTTTCACTCATCCCAAACTCTTCCAAACGACTCAAACACAATGTGATATGACGCACAGACCGTAATGTTCACACAGAGATATAATAGAATATAAAATCCATTTATTGTCCAGAAATGGGGAAATTCTGGTGTTTACAGCAGCAAAAAGATTATAGAAAAAATGGTCACACAATAACATCATAGTGAAGTGTTAAAAGACAAACAATAAAATATTGTATACTAAAGTGTTTTAACAACATAAAACTGTGCACCTGGAGAATAAATAACCAATATGCAGCTATGGACATTTTTACAGTATTAGATATTTGAAAATAGCAGCAACATCAGAGATGTGCAAAATGATAGAAGCATGTTATTTAACTGACTAAGGTAGAAATGGTGCAATAAAGTCTTCCAGCTGATGGGAGGAAGGATCTGTGATAACGCTCCCTGGTGCATTTAGGGTGCAGCAGTCTGTCAGTAAAGGAGCTCTCCAGATCTGCAACAGCTTCATGCATGGGGTGGGAAACATTATCTAACAGAGATAATCTTCAGACTGAAAGAAGTTAGAATGTGGATGTTGTCTCTGTTGGAGCTGATGTGTTGCTGAATCTTCTTCTCTGTCTCGTCTCTCAGGGAGAAGATGATCCTGTTGCTCATCATCATCAACATCAGCTCATGTCTCTGTGGTGAGTTTCCATCTTCTCTTTGTTCTAAATCCATTAATAATCAGTGAAAAGTCTGTCAGTGAAGGTAACACTTCAACCCTCCAGCTGCATTTGATCAAGCAGTTTGACTAGAAGAGAATCAAGCAGAGCTCTGACAGCACAGAGACCATCATGAGACAGAAACCTCTAGAGATGGAGTTTAAAGACTCCCATGTTCCAGTTCTCAGTGTGTCTCACTGCTCCTCTCTTTCCCTCTCTGTCTCCTCAGCACCAACATTTGTAGTGAAAGTGACACAGAGCTCCTATCAGGCAGAGGAGAACCACAACATCACTCTGGAGTGGACCTTCACCACCAGACCTCAGGGATCCTGGACAAAACTGACTGTTATCTGCAGTATGATCACTATTAATCAAAGAGCCTCAGTCCTCTATCAGGTTCATGATGGTGTTGAGATGTCAGAGTCTGAACACTTTAAAGGACGACTCCGGATTGACAAAGATGTCCTCAGAGAAGGACGGATCAGACTCCATGTTTCCAGACTGACGACAGGAGATTCCGGACAGTATCTTTGTGACATTAGGACTAACTATGGGAAGGGCTTGGCACAGTGCAGCGTCACAGTCACTGGTGAGTTCACTCAGCAGATGTTGGGTTATTTTTACATCAACTCATCAACATACCCAATAGAGAATGGACACTCCCGTCATTTCTGTCTTTTCATTTCCTTTGGTTTATTCGTTGGTCACAGTTTGATATCCCTACATAACAGGCAATCTCATATAAATCAAACTCAAAACTTTGTTTCAGAAAACACATGTCATAACCATGAAGCCCTTAAATAGTGCTTAAGAATCAATGTTTTTATGAAACATAATTACATTTAATGGAATTTCTCTTAATAATTTAACAAAAGTAAGTTCACCTCAATACCAAAAGAATATCTGTGGTTGCCAAACCAAGCAAACATAAACAACCAGCTACCTGGATATCTATAATCAGATCTACCTGAGGCTACTACACTATCTTTTTGTGTACAAATATTATAAATACAAAGCAAAACAACTCCTCCCCTTCTGAATAATAACACCTCCCTCTCGACACCCCGCAGTTGTAGAGTTTGCTGTCTTTTAGTTGTGTCAGTGTCTTGGTTCTTTTAAGTTTTTAGTTTCATTTTGATTTGTGTTTTTCTTTGTTTTCTAGTTCTAGTGGTTTAAATCCTATTTTGTTGTGTTTTCTCGATGCATTTGAGTTCTTAGGTTTTTCTTTCTTGCCCTCTTGTGTTGGTCTCCTTTTCCCAAGCTCCTTAGTAGAAGCCTCTGTTCACACCTGCTTCCAATTAGCTCGTTAGTCCTGTCTTTGTTCAGCCTTTTTCCGACAACAAGATGTCTGAGGCTTGAAAAAAATGTGGCAGTAATTACAGATAAAGGGCCGGATCTATCAAAGGTTTGCTTGTATAAAAACGTGAGCTATTTCACTGCGCACGCTAAAAAATGTACAAACTGATCTATATACAGCGTGCTAAAAGGATTTGGTCTTTAAAACATGCTAAATAGCGCCTCTTATCCATTTAGTACTTTTTCTGCTATGAATATGCAATATGGGGCGTTTACACGCAAAAGTGCGTCTTGTGGGAGGAGAACATGTAAATATATTAATTTAGCACTCGCAAAGTGATTTATTAAACCTGAAAGCAATTTTGCTAACGGTATCTGACTCTATATTTAACACGTTTCAAAAGAAGGTGCAAATGGTCTGTATGCGTAATTGCGCACACATGGCAGCGGTTATTGTCGCAAGAAGGAGACATCGAAATGAAGCAAGGAGATGCAGAGAACGCATTTTTGCACTCCGTGTGAATATTTTTGGAATGAGGGCCGGATCTATCAAAGGTTTGCGTGTATAAAAACGTGAGCTATTTCACTGCGCACGCTAAAAAATGTACAAACTGATCTATATACAGCGTGCTAAAAGGATTTGGTCTTTAAAACATGCTAAATAGCGCCTCTTATCCATTTAGTACTTTTTCTGCTATGAATATGCAATATGGGGCGTTTACACGCAAAAGTGCGTCTTGTGGGAGGAGAACATGTAAATATATTAATTTAGCACTCGCAAAGTGATTTATTAAACCTGAAAGCAATTTTGCTAACGGTATCTGACTCTATATTTAACACGTTTCAAAAGAAGGTGCAAATGGTCTGTATGCGTAATTGCGCACACATGGCAGCGGTTATTGTCGCAAGAAGGAGACATCGAAATGAAGCAAGGAGATGCAGAGAACGCATTTTTGCACTCCGTGTGAATATTTTTGGAATGATGGAGGAAACGATGATCAAAACATATCGTTTATCCAGCATTGCCATTTTGGAGCTGCAATTCCAGTGATTTTCTCCTCACAGAGCGTCAGCTGTACTTGTTCCTTAATGCTGGTCAGAGGCATCTCATCTACTGTGCCCCCTCCTCTTTTGTTCGCAGATGTTTTGTTATATGCCAGTTTTTCTTTGGTTCGCCTTCTAATATCCTGGTATCTTCTTTTTACTTCATCCACTGTTGGCAAGGTTTCACCAACAGCGTTTACTTTATTACAGATTTGTTCACATATAGCGTTCCTCTGTGTGACAGTCACACTTCTTTGCTGTAGCTCACTTAAATGTTTGTTGGCTTCATCCACCAATACCTCCATTTCCATGGGGTCGAATTTCCTTTTGCGCTTTCTGCTGTCCAAACTCGCCATGCCGCAAACCACAAAACGCGCAAAACCATCATTTAAATAGGGCGTCTCCAACAGTTTTGCACCTGCCACCAGTTACGCAATCGCTCTTGTTAAATCACCCGCAAACCATGGTCCAGCCCCTCGCGCAAAATTCCAGTTTGCGAGCGCAAATTACTGCACGCAAAATTGGCTCTTGATAAATCCGGCCCAAAGGCTCTTTGGGTTATTTGCTTTGTTTGTGGTGTTTTTAACCTTAGCTATTCCACGTATCCTTGTCTGCTCCTCAGTCTTGCTTATCTAAAAGCAGGAAGTTCTTGAAAGAACATCTTAAAATTGGGTAGCTAACAGAAAAAAGAGTACCATATTTTCACGACTATAAGGTGCCTATAAACGTCTTTTTTTCCCCTCAAAATGTGCGGCGCGCCCTATAGTGCGGTGCGCCCTATGTGTGTTGTTACTGCGGACGTTTGAGACCACCATGAGAACGTTAAAAGGGGAAGTGTGGGCGTGGATTGTGTATAAAAGAACAGGTATGTGCTTTATGCAGAGCTCCTCATTGAGGAGATGATGAAAGAGTGGCTGAGGGAGGTGAATGTAAGGAGACCAGGTGTTTTTTTCTACTCATCACCATCGCTGTTAATCTGTGAATCCATGCGTGCCCATCTCACAGCTGATGAGAAAAACATGGTGAAACAAATGAACGCTGTGCTTGCTGTTATTTCGGGAGGTCTGACAAAGGAACTTCAACCGCTCAATATCGGCCGTTAATGCTGCTTTCACACCGGATGCAGCAGGCACAGCAGAAGAAGCGAGTTTACATGTAAAGTCAATGGTTGACGCGCGTATAGGCGCAGCAAAAGGTCCCGCAGCGCGTTTTGAGCAGCAGGTGCAGCACGTCGGGAGCATTTAAGCATCTGACGAGCTTGACGCGCTGCAGCTCGAGATGGAAAAATTGAAGTTTTGCTGCTGGACGCGCCGCATCAACCAATCAGAGAAGCTGAGCTGGGAGCTGGCAGCGAGACAGACACATCGCTGATGATACAGAGCGCTGTGATCGCTCCTCTGAAACAGTTTATTAACGCCTAAATTAACTTAAAATGCTGAAACCTGCCGACAGAACATGTTCGCTTTTATTATCGTGGTGCCTGCAGTTTGGATTATTTTGATGAAAAACACGTACCAGCCGCCACGGTGAACCGCGAGGAGGCGACCCGGCCAGAGGCTGCTGTTGAATGAAGGTTTCAGGTGGAGTTTCCCACTTAAAAACCTATTAAAACTACTTTATTCCCACTGATCACAGCAAATATGGTTGCAAGGCAAAGAAAGGATAGAGTAGCTCCGCCCAACGCGCGCCAGACACACTTTTGCACCACGCAGCCAGAGCAGCAAAGATGCTTCAGCCGCGCGTCAGAACTAACTGGTACAATCTAAACTGCAGGCACCATTATAATAAAAGCAAACATATTCTGCCGGCAGATTTCTGCATTTTAAGTTAATTTATGCGTCAATAAACTGTTTCAGAGGAGTGATCACAGCGCTCTGTGTCATCAGCGATGTGTCTGTCTCACGGCCAGCTCCCAGGTTTGATTAATACTTTGTAATAAATACATGAATAAAGCACAAACATACTCAGTTTTGCTCCCGCTGTATTTTTAAATACGCAGTAGAGGTATTTAAAGGTAGTAGAGGACATGTACCTGTATATAAAACCCGTAGTCCAGTGCGCCTTATGTGAGTGTTAAATACAGAAATGGGACACATAACTGAGACTGCGCCTTTTAGTACGGTGCGCCTTATGGTCGTGAAAATACGGTAATAGTAAAAAAAAAAAAAAGACTCGTGTGTGGACATGAAAATTACAAAATGTTTTTTTTTTCTTTAAAACATGTAAAAGTTTTTGAGCTTTTGTTTTAAAATGATCAGAACTTGCAGAAAGCATGTTGGATTTTACCATAATGGCATTGACTGATACCAACCAATAGAGAAATAAATAGTAAAAAAGAAGGTACCTCCATACCATCCCTTTTTTCCCACAAAAATTTTAATAAAAAAATGTATCTGTTCACAACTGGGAGGATGACCTCATGTCATAAAGTAATAGTTGTGAAAATCATTAAAATAGATATTTATTCAGATATTAATCCAGAAATGTGAACAGTCTTTTTCTTGTCTGATCACCCTCGCTCTGGTGTCCACTGATGTCTGATGCTGTCCTTTGGTCTGGTCCCAGTTTAAATGTTGACACAGACTCACATTATTTCAAGCAACCTGCAACCCAAACATATTGACTGAATAAGTTAGTCTTCAACAACTCGGTGTTGACGAGTAAATGGTTCCAAACTGCAGGTTATGTTTCCTTGTTTGTTTGTTGGTAATAAATCTTGTTTCTGTTTCAGTCCCAGACTTTATCAAAATAAAGAAAAAGCAGACGGTTCATGAGAGAAATTTTGCTCATCTACCACTAAAGGATGAGACCATTGATGCTGGTAGGTCTCTGGTTCCAAACATAAACATTTCAGCTGCTGATCACCTAATTGTACTCTGGTTTTCTGTCCACTGACTTTATCTCTGCTCTAGGTGGTTGGTCAAGCCTGTTCCCCAACTTTTACTTTATTTTCTTCATCATTTTCATCATCGTCATCATTGCTTACATACGCAGAAGAAGGGTCTTCGGCACAAGATT